AAGGGGAGAGAAACACTTGAATCTTGGGTGAGTCTTTGTTATTCTACGGGAAAGGTCAGCTGAAAACCAAGGTTCTTGGATTAGTACCATATTAGCCCCGCATTTTGAGGCCAGCTCTAGGGCAGCGTCGTGAGCAGAGGCACGTCTGCCAAGGTTGATCTGGAAGAAGCAGAGGCCTGGGGTTTTCTGCTTTCTTCAGTTCCTGTTTCGGTCCCTCATAATAACACCTCAAGGGAAATTAGGGGAGCAAACCTAGATGCCGAGCCTATTGTTAGAACAGGAGCTGGAATCGTGGTGCGCGAGGGTTGTGTGGAAGGAAACCCAGGGGGGGGGTTCCGGAGCGGGCAGGGGAGGGTTAAGAGCCAGCTAGGACTTGTGTCCTTCCTGGCCCATTACCTGCATTACCTGCATTCTCTCCCTGTCTGGGCGAACAAATACTCTGTTAGCTTGGAAGGGTCTTGCAGGGCATCCTGTAGAAGAGGCCACGTGCGGGCCAGCACAATTAAGACACTTTATTGGCGTCATACATGGGCTGTTGTGTGAGTCTGACGCACAAAGTCCGCAACGAGCTCTCCTGGTGTAGGCATTGATGTTGTGGAATCCATGGCAGCGCTGACAGACTTGGAGGCGTGGACAATTGTCAGCTGGTCGAGTTTTGGCGGACCGAGCAAATAGGCGGACGCTGGAGGGGAGTTTATCTGCAGCTGGTTTTGCAACTACCAGTTGGAGAGAACCTTCCCATTCTGGGGATGCCAGAGAGTTACATGTCCAGCTGATAGAAAAAATTGATTTTGTATCAATTTTTGCGGCTGCAAGTTCTTGCCGGATGTCTGCAACAGAGAGGGCTTCGGGAGATCCGGAAGCATTGTACCCATATTTAGGGGCTGGGCTGAGAAAGTTCTCTCGTTTTTCCTGTCTTTTGATAGGCATAACTCCTGTAGCAGGCTGTAGAGCAAGGGCTGCTTGCATGAGTTCGGGAGCCTGATCGGATGAGGGAGCCGCGAGGGCTGTCCCAGAAGGGACCGACCTGATGTCCTTGATTAGTTCCGGTTTTTCGAGAAAGCTTTTCAGCTTTGTACGGACCAGAAGAAAATCTTGGAATCTCAGAGGGTGGTCAGGGACTAGGCATATCATAACTCTAGAGTCCGGCATGTTTTTTTTCTTTGAACTAGTAACCCTGGGCGCAGCATTTGGAGAAGGTACAGGTACGGTCAAGTTCTTCTTCGCAGCATTTGCGCAAGTAGAACTTGCAGGTGATTCTAGTTGTGGGGCTAGCAGTACGCTAACTTTTACGTTTGCAGTAGTTTGAGACTGCTCGAAGACAGGGAGGCCTGCAATGACTTGTGCTGCACTTCGTGTCACAATAGTTTTGCGGTCCGCAGCGATTATTGACAGTAGACCAAGTAGATATTGGGCTCCAGCATTTTGCCAGGCCAACAATGAAGCGACTATGTTATTTGTCAAAGCTGCCGAGGGGTTTTCGATGATCCACGCTGTTGTACGCGCGCTAGATTGTGGGAGAGTTGGGGTAGGTTGCTGCTCAATTGCAACGTTGTCTTTGGTGGACGCGTAAATGGAGATGGAGATACTCTGAGTAGAATCTCTTTGTAGAGGCTTTATTGGCGGATGCAGTTGGGTAGCTGTTACTGATACGGGAGCTGGCATTGGAGAGAGGGAAAGGTTTTCAGAGGAAGAGTTGGAAGGACATTTGTTTTCCAGTTCGAGGTCCATGAACTCGTCTTCGGAGTCCATGTAGATGGGTTCAGCTGGAGATTGTTGCTTCTCAGTTGCGGCTGCTAGGATAACTTCCTCCTGAACAGTTGGGAGCGGAGGGCGAGGCCTCGCACGTTTGACTGCGTGCGAGACAACTCGAGCAGGGGACACGAGTGTAGTGGGGATTTTACGCCTCCTGGGAGACATCTTGACGTCTTGGGACGATGAAGAGTAGGAAAATTGAGTCACGAGATATATCTTAGCTTTGGGATTAAAGCGTGTGCTTGATGTACTAACAGGTATTTATAAGGGTTAATCCGCCTCGTGAATGTACAGACTAGTGACTTGTCCTTTAGCACAATAATTCTTATCCAGCCACTTATTTCCAGGTGTCAGTAAGTTGTAATAACGCTTCAGCCTCCTGACTAGTAGTGCCGTTTTGTTTAGCTTCATTTCCCCCCCATACAGCCTCATTGTAAGAATTCTTAGTATCAGGCTTAGGTATCCACCTAAGCTCAAACAACGGTCAAACCGTAACACTCCCTATAGAGATATACCTGAAACAAAGGAGGGTCTAGCACGCCGGACTATCAGATAAACTCCCAGTGCAACAGACAATCCGATCGACATGTAAGAGGATAAAGCTGCCCGCAAACGGGAGAGAAATTCCGCATGCATTGACCAAGAGTAAAGATATCTCCGAATGTACAAGAACTTGCGGAAGGAAAAAGGACAAGGGGAGGCAGAAAGAAGCTGGAAAGATAGCGGTCTTTCAGGAGTGGAAGGATTCATGGACAAGCTAGGTGAGGAAAAAGGGCCCTAGCCTGTCACAGGCTCATACCTGGTTATCATTAGGCTGCTGCCTAACAAATAAGGCTTGAACTCTTCCAACCATATTAAACATCATACATGTCATGAACCCCTCCACGACTCATTAGACCCAAGTACAGGCCTTGGCCCAGTTCATGCAAATCTATTCTTAAATGACAAATTTAGATTGCAGACAGGACGACTCGAACACCAGTCGTGAGTCATCTAAGCCACATGCATCATAATTATTTTAATAACTAAAATTACTAACATTAAAATGAAGCTGAATTAAAATAGACGGAGATGCTGGTGTTTGTCGGAGGACAGGTCATGATCTATTTTGAGAATGGTATGAAATGAGGGAACGAGATCATAGTCTTGTAAATAAATAGGAGGCTTTCAGTCATGTCTCTGCTCGTTACTTTAAGATTTTCATTTGTATCTAGCTCTGAGTTCAGTTTGAATAAAACGCCACTTTAAGACCGTCACATAGCCGACCAGAATCAGCCGATCCAGAACATTAGAAAGCGGCCAATTTATTTACTGATGAACAAACAGGTAGCGGCAAAATGAAATTCAAAGATACTCTCTTAAGAATCCACCGTAACCTAACCAGGGCCCAAAGCAGTGTCGCCATTCAGCTAAGAAGCGAGCATATCGGACTCAATTCTTACCCGAGCAGAAGAAAAGTACCTGGAGTAGAAAAGCCAAGCTGTCAATGTGGATATCCGTGGCAAAACGTCAAGCATATGGTGTTGGCGTGTCCGCTGTGGGCAAATGGAAGAGGCGGCTTTCTCCGATAAGCTAAAGACAGGTCATTTGAAGCAATGATGAACAGCCCAGAAGATATTGCTAGAATTACACAGTGAATACTAAACAAAGGGTGTATAAAACAGTTTCGACTGGCAGGAGAATTCGAGGTAGCAATGTCGGATAAAGTAAATAGATCTGGAAGGGGAGAGGACGGAATCCACATGGGCTGAACAGTGTACACTGCACTTCCTGAAGGTAAACATAATAAAGTGATAGGAATATAAAAAGACAGCATCAGGGGGTTTTCACCAAATCTGTTTCCTCCTTTATAAATAATGCAGATAGTCACCTGAATGGACCCATAGGGTGCCTGATCGGGTTAATTGAAATCAAATTCAAATTCAAAATAATAAAATAGAAAAATAGAGCAGATAAGTGGACCATAGTATTGTGGATTTAGAACTCTACAAGACCCAACTCACGTCCCCACCGTAGGAAATACTTTAAACCCGACTCATCGACGCCTTTTGCGCCATGATACCCTTCGTCAGTGTTGTTGGGATTGCCAAGAAATGGGAACTCAGGGTAAAGCCCTCGTTATCTATTGGAAAAGATTGAAAAAACAGCACATTTAAAAACAATTGAATTTTGTTGGTTTACTGTCTACTTTTAGCAGTCCTTCATAGTCATAGACTCAGTAGGGACTTAGATTTAATTCTACTCTATTCTACCCTTCGTCCGGCCGCACAAGTGGCTTTGGTACATGTTTTCAATATTTCCTGGCTCATGCGCAAATCTTCATTGTGCGAGCCAGGGCAAGATTCTGTTCGGATTAAGTCCTGATCAACGATGTCTAGCCTTGTTGTGCTATGTTGCAGGCTGCTGTTCCAATTACTCATTGGGGCTATAATCAGGGTTGTGAATAGCTTCGGTTTGGTGTGGGTTCTTGGATTGATACCTGAGCGTGTCGCATAGTAGTCAGACATGCAACTCAAGTAGCAATATGCTCGGTAAACCTCAACCCCAAAATGATGATACGAATCAAGTTTTATATGCTACGTCCTGTACGGCTAGCGTGGGTTGAAAATGGGGAATTTATTTGTAGATAGATAAAGACATTGTAGCCCTCTGATGGTTGGGACAAGTCTTCTACCAAAATATGTCAGAATCAATCCTAGCCTCTCATTAAGCAATCGCATGAACCTATTTTCATGTCTGTGATAACAGATCAACATGCAAATTCGACGTCAAGTTTAAAGTTGATAAAATTTACATCTGTATTCATGATCCTTGAGAATAATGATATCTGAAATCATACACTTTCACCAAACGGACTTTGCGAAAATGTCATGGGCTAATTTTTCTATTTTGATTATCTAAGGCTTATTTTCAAAGATGTACATCTATCCACTATCATTTACTACCACTCTATCCCTACTTTACAAGAATTCAAATTTTATTTTGCGCCCGATGTACCTATTTAGAAATTTATCTCAAATTGAATGGCTACACAGATCCTGAAACTCTAATACTTGCCAAATCATCAGTCTCCAACAGTAGGTCGTGATAGTTCAGGTGACTTGTATAGTACCTTTTGGAAAGCCGCGTACATGAGCCGACTTACTCACTTCATGCAGGGATTCCTAGACATGAGCTTACATGCCTCGATGCGAAAATTTTGTGGTATCCGTCTGTGTAATAAAGAATCAGGTTAAATTTTAATTTTATACACCAGCTATTCTCTTCCAACGGCTAAATAACCCCCCATGCGTGCTTGGTGCTCGAGAATTTATGCCGGTTGATTCTCTTCGGGCGTCTGTTCGTCGAGAACGCCTCTCATTTCCTTTGCTACTTTCTAGACTTATTGTATTCTCCCTGGCAGCATGAGATGACCGACGTCTTCGTTCTCTTGAAGCTTGATCCTCAAACTTTTCATGGGTAGAGTGACGCGAGCTTAGTCGACGTCTCCGCTCTTTCCGTTCCCCCGAGCCACCCGACCGCACCTGAACATCATTAGGTGGTGGTGGTGCATCAGAATGTTCCCGCACCCAGTATTTTGTTCGAAGATTTAACAGTGAATCATCAGTTTGCCTTCTTGACGGTTCATAAATGTACTCGTACATTTGTTCCGCTGGTTCATTTTTGTTTCGAATTTCTGGTAATCTATCTACAGATTTCTGTCGACCTGATCTGGGGTTCCCAGTAGATTTCCGCCGAGCTCGTCGTTCCTCATGTCTGAGATGGCGCATCTCATCTTCGTCAATTCCTTCTCCCTGAGATTTACGGCGTATAGAGTTACTCGATTGAGTCTGATTTTCGCTGTGCCTGTCATAAGATATCACATGAGCTGCCTCTTTTTCTTGACGAGCTCGACGTCTCTCTAAGCGTTCGTATTCTCTGGCTTCGCTAATCATACGCTCTGCAACTTGAGCCCTTTCAGCACGGCGTCTCTCTTGTCGTTCACGCTCTTTGGCTTCAAAAAGCGCTCGCTCTGTATCTTTAGCCCTTTCAGCACGGCGTCTCTCTTGTCGTTCACGCTCCTTGGCTTCAAAAATCGCTCGCTCTGCATCTTTAGCCCTTTCAGCACGGCGTCTCTCTTGTCGTTCACGCTCCTTGGCTTCAAAAAGCGCTCGCTCTTCATCTCGAGCTCTTTCTGAACGACGCCTCTCTAAACGCTTTTGCTCCTTTGCTTGGGCAATTTGTCTTTCCGCATCTAGATGAGCTCTCTGAGCACGTCGAGCAGCGCTCTGTTTCTCTTCTTCAAGCACACGTATATCATATTCTTCTTTCTCTTTTCTGTACTTTTTTTGCCGTTCCTCTTTAGATTTTTGTGCAGCTTGCTCAGCTCTTCGTGCCTCTTCCGCAATATTCTCAGCTGCTTGTCTCTCTGATCTTCTGGTACGACGGGCAGCTTGCCGTTTCTCATTTTCTTGATCAGCAGAGCTTGATATCTTAATATCACTGTTATCTCTGTCATGATGCTTGATTTTTCTCTCTTCTCGCCTAAGTCCACGTGACCCATTTTCAGAAACTAAGTTACGACGCTTACTTTCAGACCGAGACTTCGAGGATATCAGTCCACTAAATATTCCGCTGAAGCTAGACTTATTTGCAGTTTCTGGTCGTTTTGCGAAATAATAAGATGAACCACCTTTATCAGCCGCAGCTATGTCATTGTCCTATGTGACAAGTTTTATTAGCAATCAACTTTTGAGATAAAAGATCTATTAGAAAATCGTTTGGTGTAAAGACCTTCGTAGGTGATAGGAATATATCAGGAGAATATTAACAATACCTTTGCTTTTGGGTTTCGGATATTATTTGTTTTTATTACATTAGCTGGCTTTTTATCATCTAGTCACGGATTAGTATGAGTAGCATATTTGCGGAATTCTGCTTCATTAATACCACTTGGCTTGGCTTCCTTTTCAGATTTTTGATTGGAATGTTTGGCAACGTCAACAATCTTTGGCGCTTTTGAAGATAAAGCTGGCCGACTATCTATCCCGGAGATTCCTTCTGAAGTTGATGCGCGGCGAGGAACCTTAGCTGGAATCTTACGTGAGTTTTTTTCGGAGATGGATTTAGACCTCACTGGAGGAGCAAATATATTTGATAATCCTCTTGACAGTGATGGACGTTCTACTTTCCCGGTTTTAGTAGTGGTAGGATTCCTAAAATTTTTGGCTTTATCCTTCTGGCGATCTTTGATGGAGGAAGGATTTCTGATTGTCGACCCTTTGGAATTTTCTTTGCCATTTGACTTAACTTTAGAAGGCTTTTTTTCATCCTTCCGAGATGAGGCTTTAATGGTATGTCGATTTATTTTAGTCGATTGTGTATTTTTCGAAGGCTGTAGAGGCATTAGAGATCGAGGGGTCTTCTCCGCGGGTGCTGTAGATGCTTTGACTTTATCATCATCTTCGGATGGGGTCCTCACAATGAGCTTCACTTTACTATCAGATGCTTCATCTTCTTCATTATTTAATTCTTCTATTTGTGATTCAGGTTCTTCTTTTCCAGTTTCCCCCAAATTCTCTGGTTCTTCCTCAGCTGCACTAGTTTTTTCTGGCTGTGTTGTAGCCTCTTCTTCGGTATGATTTTCAGCTAGTAATGATTCTTCTACTCTAGTATAGGCTTCTATTGTAGGTTCTACTTGTTTATCTTCACTAAATTTGTCTTCGTTTGCTTGAATGTCTTCTTCTATGCCTATCTCCTCAAAATTATCTTGCTCTTCTTTTGCAATTTCGTCAACTGTTGTTTGTGCTTCGGCCTCCTTATCTTCTTCTGCTTGCCCATCTTCTCCTATGCCTATCTCCGCAAAATTATCTTGCTCTTCTTTTGCAATTTCGTCAACTGTTGTTTGTGCTTCGGCCTCCTTATCTTCTTCTTTTCTTATCTCTTCTACGGGTTCTATCTTCTCTTCTTCTCCAACATATTTTTCTTCATTTTCCTTTTCTTTTGCAGCCTTGCAGGAAGCAGAATCTTGAGACTTTTTTTGGCCTTTTTTCATTTTCATATTCTTCCTATTATTAAAAATTATTTTTTCCTCCTCTTCATTGGCCCTTTCTACGTTATTCTGTTCTACTGTCTTGGCCCCTCCTGCAAGTCTTTCTTCTTCATTTTCAGCTTCACGAAGTGCAGCTTCTTGAGCTTTTTTCTGACCCTTTTTTACTTTCTTATTTTTGCTATTACTGACAATTTTTTCTGCATTTTTCTCTCTATTATTATCTTGTGCAAGACTTTCTTCTTCTTTTCTAGCCTCTTCTACGCTATTCTCTTCTCCTATCTGGGCTTCTTCTGCGATATTCTCTGCTTCTATTTTGGCCCCCTCTGCGCTATTCTCTTCTCCTATCTGAGTCTCTTCTGCGGTATTCTCTCCTATATTGGCCTCTTCTGTGATATTCTCTCCTTCTGTCTTGGTCTCTTCTGCGATATTCTCTGCATCTGTCTTGGCTTCTTCTATGGTATTCTCTCCTTCTGTCTTGGTCTCTTCTGCAATATTCTCTCCTATATTGGCCTCTTCTGCGCTGTTCTCTTCTCCTGTCTTGGCCTCTTCTGTGATATTCTCTGCTTCTGTCTTGGCTTCTTCTATAGTATTCTCTCCTCCTGTTTGGGCTTCATCTGCGATATTCTCTGCTTCTGTCTTGGCCTCTTCAGTAAGCTTTTTTTCTTCTCTTCTTTCTTCTCTTCTTTCTTCTTCCGGAAGCATTTCTTTATCCTTTTCAGCCATACTAGAAGCAGCCTCTTGAGCTTTTTTTTGATTCTTTGTTATTCTCTTGTTCTTACCATACTTGAAAATTATTCCTGAATCTTTCTCGTTGTTAGCCTCTTCTACGAGCTTATCTTTCTCTTCTTTTCTTGAATTTTTGAAATCTTTTTCTGCCTTGCGAGCAGCAGCCTCTTGCGCTTTTTTCTGGCTCTTTGACATCTTCCAACTCTTGTCCGCACCAAAAATACGTGCAGATTCTCCTGCTGCCTGTCGTTCTTCCACTCCTTCCAGTATTTCGTCAGCTTGAGAAACGGTTTCATATCCATTTCTTTTGCCCTTGATGAACTTTGACTTGTTGGCTTCTTTCAAAGCAGGTAATTCCATTTTTTCGCAAACATTGTTCTCGTGAAAATTATCTGCGCTGTTCTGAGCCTCATCGACTTCCGAGAATCCAGGTCCAGGCTGACTATTATGGACTGTGCCGTTTAGCTTTGGGCTTTCTTCATTTGCTTCTATAGCTGTGTCTATATTGGATGATATAGGCTCTTTTTTTGACGCAAAGTCAACGTTACTAGGATCTGGTGGTTCCTCAAGGTCATTTTTGGGGTTCATCGCCTTATTTTTTTTAAACTTAGTCGAATCTCGAGCGTGTACTTTGTTGTCTGTCCATGCTGATGTTTCGTCTCCTATTCTTAAAAAATCTACAGAATCTGGCGTTTGTTGAGTCGTAAAGGAATCTAAGTTGGGGGCTTCCGTAGATTTTTTCTGTTCCTCAGAGCCGTCACATAAATCTAATACCTCATTTTTAGAAACATCGAGATCTAAAATGTTCTTATTATCTGATTTACATATCTTCTTTATTTTTTGGGATTTTGCTTTATTTGATTTGTTAGTGAGAAGACTTATAGATTTCGTTCTTCTCTAACCTTGAATGGTGTTATAGTCTTCATCTTTGTTTCCCCCTTTGTTGCTAGAGCTTTGACGAAAGCTTTGCGCTTGCTTAGACTCGTTGAATTCAGATTTTTTCTGCTTGTTGGTGAATAGGTTCTGATAACTTCAAAATGTTAGAAAAGCGATAGTCATTCGTGAGAAGGTTGAAATCCTCCATAATCAATTCTCGAAGCTAGAGTGACTTTAGGACAGAAATGGCCACCCAGTGTAAAGATATGAAATGTAGACATACGTTCCAGTAATCCAGTCGCTCCCCCAAGACTTCACTCCTAAGCTATCTTGAAGAGGGTCTTCCTGGCAATCTTGATCATTGAAAACCTGATTGCTGTTGGGCCTACGTTTATCGATTGAATTAACATTTTCAATGGAGGATATCAGGTCCGTTACACTAGCCTTGGCTTTTTCTCTACATACTTTTCCTCTTGAGACCTTAGCATTTGATAAGGCAGATTTATTTTTCGTAATAGGTTCGATGAGCTTGTCAAAATTCTTCCCTTGTTCCTCTTGCTCTTCTTTCTCTCGCTCTCCTTTCTCTTGCTCTTCTTTCTCTCGCTCTTCTTTCTCTCGCTCTCCTTTTTCTTGCTCTTCTTTCTCTCGCTCTCCTTTTTCTTGCTCTTCTTTCTCTCGCTCTTCTTTCTCTCGCTCTTCTTTCTCTCGCTCTTCTTTCTCTCGCTCTTCTTTTTCTTGCTCTTCTTTCTCTCGCTCTTCTTTCTCTCTTTCTTCCTTTTCTCGTTCTTTTTTCTCTCGCTTTTCTTTTTTCCTATCGCCACTTTTATCTTCATCGCCTCTGCGATCATCATCCTTGTGATCATCATCCTTGTGATCATCTTCTGGTTCTTCGTCGTCTTCGTCTTTTTGACCATTCTTTTTGTTTCCTTCACTTCTTCCAGATCCTTTGTAGGTGGCTCTGTTAGCCTTCTTACTTTTTTTTGCTCCCTTAGCTGCCTGAACGCCAACTTGGAAATCAAAATCTATTGTTACTAAATTTGGATCTCTACAGCTAGACCGTTCATTTGTTTTCGCTGCAGGCGTGATAGAGTCAGCTATAGAAACACTTTGGTTGAAAGGCTTCATTCGAGCAAGGCCGTTGGTGTCACAATGGAGTAGCTGAAAAGTTAATTCATCATCATCTGGGAGATCTTCATTCAACTTATTCTCTAGAAACAAGATGCTGGGACGTTGCCATTGCAGGCATATATTCTTTCGCGTGGTTATTTTCTGTCACGACGATTAGATTTGTATGATTTTTGCAATACACAACATTTGCTACGTGAGAAAACCCGGAAGAAGGTATACTAGTATTCATCCTGATTTTTACGATAGTTGAGGAAAGATAATTTGTAGATAATTGAAGAATATATTTCATACCGGATTAATATAACATGATTTATATTTTCTTTTAGCCACATCCTCTCTGCATGCCATCCATAACATAGCAATGAGCCTTAGTTTCATATGTGAATCCTCTTCATACTCTCTTTTCCACCCGAGTGGGTGATGTAAATTCTGATATGGTTCGGTGCGGTAGTCTGTTCCTCCAACAGCTCTCATGGTGGCTTTTGTGACCCGCAGTCTTTTTCGGACTCAAAAGTCGAGATTCTGGAACCGTCAGACAGGACGATAAGTTGATGAAACTCGAGCCTTGAAAGAACCTGATAGCGAGAAATGGCTGGGAGAATTGGAGATGTGAAGGCGATATCTGCGGCTGACTTTTTTGCATGGGCGTGGAGAGTTTTCCGAGTTTCCGCCCCTGCACGCGCCGCCAATCTGTTGCGGTGCGTGAACAACGGGTCGTACCAAACACAGCGGTAAGTCAACTTGGTGCGACTTGTTCCCTCGGCATAGAACAGCAAGAGTAGGGGCAAAAATGCAAAAAACCTAAAAAGTGCCCTACTGTCACTGGCCGTCGCGCCGTTGTGCTGATAGGTCTAAATTTTGACGGAACATTTATGCAGGCCTCACCGCTACTTTGGTAGTGGGTAAACATTGAAATAGAATGCAAGTAGTACAGAAATCTCTTCACTACAGAGCCGAGTGGACTGCAAGGTAAACACGTTACCATCCTGCCGGCCATCTCGTTCTTGTTGCCGGTCCCCTCAAGGATACTGATAATTTCAGCGTCATTCCTTGCAATCACATCAGGTGACAATAGACAAAAATAAATAGTATTCACTAGGATTTGCTTTATCCTGTTTTCGCCTAGCCGGCGGGGGACTATTCTCAACACCTGTCAGTGGTGTTCCCGACTAATCTTCAGCTCTAACTATAGAGTCTGCAAAGCCGAGATTGAGTAACAAAGTCCTCACTTCGACGAGGATTCCCAATCGCTTTCGCGGTCTATATCGTCTTCATCTCTCAACACATTCCCCTATCACCATTATCATGAAGCTAACCATGATCTGATCAGATGGTAGGGTCGGCGCCCTAATTATCACCAACCCTTGATCATGAATGAAAAACCATCCGATGAGTTTCCTGAGCGTACCCAGCACCCGTCACGGAGATGGTGGATTGGATCAGGTCGGCCTCGACTGTCACAAAGAAGGAAGATATAGATGAATATGCGCACCTCATGTGGTCCCGTTGTCTAGGCCTCGCCTGGCTGGGGCTGCAGGTTTTTTGAGACTTTTTCCCGCGTACGCAGTTTCCATTGCTACCCTTTTTTTTGGGTAGAAGGTTCCGTGGAAACGGTGGCCGAATTCCACGGGCAAACACTGAGCTGGATGGCTATTCATCAAGGTGAATATATTAATGATCTTTCAAGTAACAAAAGAGGATAGGAGCACTGTACAAGGTGTGGCTTGGGTCAGAGAGGGGCCCAAAGTGCTAGATAGTCATAGACTCAAGTAGTAAAATAAAAAACAAAAACAAAAAAACGATCTTTTGACATTCGAATTTTCGAATATTCACCCTTTTGTCATGGTACCTATGGTTCTCGCTTATGACCTGATCTATAAGTCACATGACGCACAATTATCTTACTTATCTGTATGATTGATGCTAGCGCAGGAATGAAGAATAAGTATCTAAGTAGTTGCACTCTATGATAGATTGTGCAACGTCTTACTAATATATTCTTACCCGTACTTCGTCCTCTCGTACCTCCGATCTGCTTGTGACTCCGTTCCAACGAGACCTACCCGTGATATTACGTTGCACCAACAATCACCCACAGTCTTTCAATGGCTTCCGTCGTCCAATTTGAAACTGCCTCAGATTTTGTGAAACACCTTCGCTCGTTGGACGACGATGCAGGTGAAGTCTTAATCACCAGCGTTTTCACAACGGGACGAACCATAGAGAAACGAGTTGAAGAATATCAATTCTCTATTTCTAATTCACGGCGCGAGCTTATTGAGAGCAGAGCAGTTATTGAACAGCTTAGGCGTGATCTTTCTTCCAATCAAGAAGAAAATGTCAAATTATTGAAGTCTTCGGCAATTGACCAGTACCGCCTGTCCGAGGCCGAAAAGCTAAACGAAAAGCTTAAAGTCCAGTCTACCAATCTTGCCGACCCTGCGCACTCAGCCGGGGGACAGGTGAGGTCAGAATTGTTCAAAATCGATGAGAAATTTTCAGGTAAGGATAAGAAGTTATATCCATCCTTCCAACCCCAGATCCGAATAGCTCTCGCACAGAATTCCGATAGGTATGTGACCCTACAGTCACAGATGGCATTAATTTATCAAAATCTGGGCCCGGGGCCAAAAGCATTTTTGGACCGGTACTTGTGTTGTGCTGGTGATGGCTAGGATTAAGATGCACAAGGGTAATGATCACTGAGGGTGAAGGAAGAACTTTCCAGGTGGTTCCATGATGAGTAGAGGAACAATGGAGCACTGTATAGAAGGTGTTTCTAGATTGTACTGCCAGATGGAGGAGACTAGAATATTCCGTGGTACTGTTTTGGGTAAATAAGGTGAGAGTCTAGCTACTTCAGATGTGTATATAATTAGCGCTTTCTACCTCCTAAATCCTCATAGTTCTGAATATCAAATATATCAGCAGTTCATATTGATTCATCGATGATCACCCGAAAACCTTCTGCCAATTATCCTCCGTAAGCTCTTACCTTTACAACAACTTGACTAAAGAAGGCCTATTCGATTTCGCATCTTTAGATAAAGTTTGGAATGTTTTGGATGTCTCCTACAGGAATCCTAATGAGGAAGAGGACGCCCGTGACGCCCTCGACCAACTTAGGCAGGGTTCTGGACCTTTTGGTATCTTTCTTGCCGAATTTCAACTGCTCTATAATTTATCCTGTA